GAAGAAAGAACCTAAAGAATGGGAGAAAAATCTTTGCAAGCTACTCTTCTGACAGTTATTAATATCTAGAATATACAAAAACCTCAAAAAAACTTAACAAAAAAGCCCACAAAAAAAAAAACAATTAATAAGTGAGCAAATGAATTAAACAAATACTTCTCAAATACAAAATACAAGTGGCCAATAAACACATGGAAAAAATTTTCAATGACATTAGCAATTAGGAAAATGCGAATCAAAACTACACTGAGATTTCATCTCACACCAGTCAGAACAGCAGTTATCAAGAATGCCAACAATAATAAATTCTGGAGAGGATGTGGAAAAAAGGAACACTTTCACATTATTGGTGAGACTGTAACTTAGTACAACTAATATGGAAATCAGTATGGATGTTCCTCAAAACAATAGAAAAGGAACCACCATATGACCTAGCTATACTATCTCTCAGTATTTATCCTGAAGAACTAAAGTCATTTCACCATGTGAAACATGCATATCATGTCTACAGCAACATAATTCACAATAGCCTAACTGTGGAATCAGCTTAGGTGTCCATCAATGGATGAAAGGATAAAGAAAATGTGATACATATACATAGTGGAGTTTTATTTTGCCATAAAGAAAAATAAAATTATGTCATTTGCAGAAAAATGGCTAGAACTTGATAACAATTATTTTAAGCAAAATAAGTCAAACTCAGAAGGTCAAGAGTCGTGTTTTATATGTGGAAGGTAGAGAGGAAAAGAGAAAAGAAAGGTGTGGGTGTGGATCTCATGAAAATCAAAGGGAAATCACTAGACTAGAGGAAACAGAACAGGGGGATGGAGAAGAGGAGGAAGAGGAGAAATACTGAGGAATAATATTGGCCAAATTATAGTGTTATATTGTGTGTATATATAAGTATGTAACAATAAATCCCACCATTATGTACAACCTTAATGCACCAAAAAAGTGGGGAAAATAAATGACTAAGTATTCTGCATTTATCTGTTTCTTTGATTAAACATGTTTCCTGACCAGTTTAAAAATCTATTTTTTCTTCTTCTACAGCCTATCTGTTTCCTCATGTCTTCAATAGTGAAGCCACCAGGACCATCATATTTAAAATTAAACTGGCTTAGAATCCAGGTTATGGCCTTTATTGGCTGAAAAAAACTTGGACAAGTTATTTAACCTTTCTGAGATTATTTCTTCTTCTATAAAGAGAGGATAATACTAATTACTTTGCAGGTTGTTAGATAACCAGACATTCAGGAAAAGTTTAGCACAATGTTTACAGTGAGCCCTGGTGCATAGAAAGCACTCAATACATTATAACTGATCAAATAATAATGTGGTTATCACTATTGGGTTGTAGCACAGAACAGGAATCCCATTCCCCGTGGCACCTTGTACATGGCTGTCTTCAATAAAGAAACAAATGCATCCATGAATACAGAACAAATGGGAAGAAAGTAAAATAATACTCAACTTTTGCTGGTATCTCAGAAAAAACATCAGGAGAAAGAAGACAAGAGAAAAAAGATGTTTTAGCGTGGTACGGTGGCACATGCCTATAATTCCAGCAACTCATCTGTAATCCCAGTGATTTGGAAGCCTAAAGCAGAAGGATTGCAGTTTAAGGCCAGCATCAGCAATTTAGCAAGACCTTTTCTAAATAAAAAATTAAAAGGACTGGGGATGTATCTCAGGTGTAAAGCACCCCTGGGTTCCATCCCTGTACAAAAAAAAACAGGAAAAAAAAGAGATGTTCTGAAACACAGAATAAGACAAAAACAAAGGCAGGGTGCAATGGCACACACCTGTGATCCCAGTGGCTCGGAAAGCTGAGACAACAGGATGGTGAGTTTAAAGCCAGCCTCGGCAACAGCAAGGCACTAAGCAACTCAGTGAAACCCTGTTTCTATGTAAAATACAAAATAGGGCTGGGGATGTGCCTCAGTGTTTGAGTGCCCCTAAGTTCAATCCCTGGTACCCACACCACAAAAAAAAAAAGGGCTGGGGATGTGGCTAGTGGTTGAGAACCCCTGAGTTCAATCCCCAGCACATCCTCCCACAACACCCCCCCCCAAAAAAAGAGAAACACAAAGGAAGTCAAAGAATGATATAAGTGGAAAAGATTGAGAAATAACATATAGCATAGAGGGAGATCATAAGTTTCCAGGAGAATAAGTAAGGGATGCAGAAAGAGTATTGGCTTTAGGGACCTAATCCTCTTGTCTCATGGTTATCATTGTCTTCTATAGCTCAGTCATTGCTGTCTACCTCTAGTCCAAAAATCCCTATGCCTGAGAGAAGGGCAAATTCTTTGGCTTCTTTCTTGGGCACTGCTTCACTTTAACTTCTCACATACACCCTGAGGATGAGGAAGTAAAGAGGGCACTCAGGAGGTTGCTGGGGAAAGAAGGGGATTTCAGGGAGAAATGAGGGTAAAGAAAAGTTTCTTCATAATTTTTCTTAAATGTTCAGTTTCCTAGGCCAGGCCCCTGCAGAGGGCCAGTGTGACTGTGTGGTATCTAAGAGAGAGATGGAGGTCCAGTTAAGCTGTATATATCCACAAAACATCTTAAATTCAAACATGATCATTCCTGTTGGTTATAAGTATTTCTTCTCCATACTGTCTTTACTGCCCTCACTTCTACAGATTCCCTAACTCTGCCATGCCCATTTCTGGCTATATCATCTCTCTCCATTTGTCATGTCCAGTGTAGAAGAACCAGTCCAGCATTCTGGAAACTTTGCACATTATCTTAGTTATTTCTGTCTAACTACAGCCCAAATATCCTTATGCCCCAAATACTACTTAATGTACTTTCTGAATTAAGAAGCATTTTTCATGTTTTGTGAAATAAGAAACATTTCTCATGCTTTTGCAAACAAGTTTGAGCTCCAAGTCCACTTCTTTGCTTGCATCCATCCACACCATTACAATGGATCATAGTGTACATGTGTGTGTGAGTGTGTGTATATGAGAGAGAGAGAGAAAGAGAGAGAGAGAGAGAGAGAGATTGAGAGAAAGACTGAGAGAAAATGGGAAACTAAAGAGTCAGATAAGAAAAGATAAGTATCTTTAATTCATATCTGAAACTGAAAAACATGTTTATACCTACAATTCTTAATATCTAATCTCTATATGTTTGTTTCTTTTCCATTCCATTTTTAATTGTTTTCATCTCCGTTATAGATTTCTCCATTCTGTTCTAATTGTCTTGTCATCATCACTTCTAATTCCTACCATGTCTTCTTTCCTTCTTCATCAGGATGCTTTATTTTCCCTTACTTGAGGAAGATTAATGGGGAAGTTGAAGCTCTGAGAATTTCATGATTTCACCCAAGAATATACAGCAATGTTTTAAAACTTAACTGAGATATTTAATCCAATGACTTTCCAAGTATATGTTGTTGCTTTTACAACGTTATCAAATGTACCAGCAACTTAGAATTTACATCAAAATGGGTTATCAGGCAGAAAGTTCCACTACTTCAGCCCTAGCATTTTCCTGACCATCCAGCTTTCCAAGGATCACAACACTGACCCCATTTTTGGAGTTGATTTTCTTCTACTCTCAATCTCTTCGTATGACAATGACCCTGGATCTGTCTTCAGCTGTTACACAGTGGATAATAGCTGTTCTGAATTCATCTTCCAGTGTAATTCTGGGTTTCTGACCAGCCTGCAACGGCCAGACATAAACACAAATTCAGATTGTAGGTGATAAAATATTGTGATGCAGCATGGATGAAGAAAGAGAATTGGAAGAAGGAAAAGGAACATCAGTATAAGCCCCATTTTCTATGAAATCCTATTTCCTTTTCAATGCCTGTCTATACTCATACTTATCAAAGCCTCACAAGAATGGAATGGAGAATAGAATAGAGAACCTGTCTAAAATAGAACCATTCTCACCTCTTTCCCCTTCCCCTTTGCCTTTTTCCCTCAATAGCTCACACCATCTTGATGTCATTCCTGTTGTTCAGATAGTTCAGATGTATCTCTCTTGAGTTGAACCCCTGTAAGTCCAGCTGCCCACTTGACATCTCCACTTAGACTTCAAATCCAGGATGTTTCACATCAGGACTGTCATCTTTTTCCATCTGAACCTGTTTCTTCTCCTGCATCCCAGTCATCACTTCTAGTCAATTTCATCTCAACAGTTCTTACGTCCATCTGCTTCTCTCCTTTCCCACTGTTTCCACCTTACTTGAGGTCTGAGTGTTGCTCATTTTTACTGTAATAGCTTCATCACTAGCATATCAATAGTAATGTTATGCAGATAGATTATGATGTGATAACCAAATCAAAATCTTAGTGATAAGAAACAGGTTTATCTCTTGCTGTTGGCACATGCCTATTACCATCTATCCAGAATTTTTGCCATGTCACTCTTTCTCAAGTATGTAAACTGACAGAATAACCTCCATTTTGCTTTTTGTTTGTTTGTTTTTCCAGGTTAGATGCAATTTAATAATAGTTCACTTCCAAAATAAAAGTTATCATAAGTGAAACCATGAAATTTCCTAACACTTGCTTTTAATACATTGCACTAATATTTTAAAACAACTCTGAGAAACCAATATTTACAATACATGGAAGATTTATGAAAAATCTGCCATCGGGTATATTCTTGTGTGTATATATTTGTATATGTAGAACCCAAGAGATTACATGAATGAGGAAATAACAGTCTATATGTCATGTCTTAACAGCAGAACAAGAGTACAGGGTGTGAAAAATTTCAAAGCATGGGGTCTGGAACAGGAGCAGACATCTTGTTTCAAAATTTAAAGTTTTCTCAGGACTGAAGTCAAAATCTTAACTGCCATAGAAAAAGAGAAGCTTTTCCAGCTTTAATTGTTCATCTGTATCAGAAAGTCCAGTATCCCTGAGATAGGAACCACTGCAATATGAAGGGAGTGATAGGTTCTCCCAAAGGAAGATTGTTGCTTAATTTGGACAACTTGCCCTGGTCATTGGGTATAAACTTTTGTTTCCCAGCCTAATGCTTCACGGCACCAAGACATTTCAGTAATGGTTCATCATAAACCCAGCATTCATGGAATAACTTTGTCTCCCACTGAATTTCCTTCTCTTTCCTTTCTCGAGCTTCTGCTCTTTGTCTTTCTTCAAGTCAGTGCTTTGCTTCAGTTGCTGCATCAATGTCTCTGATTTTTAAATTGAAAGTGACATCCTTCCAAAGGCAGTGGGACTCATATTCATTCTGATCTTCCAACTTCCTCACTTTCTTCTTGACTATAGGCAACTTCTTGGTATCTACAAAGACTGTATTTTCCCCTGTTGTGTATTTTGCTTACATTACACCATTCCATTCCCCTTTAATTGAGCAAAAAGACTTCTTGTCATTTGGAGAAAAAAATCTCAGCAGTAATTCTGTGTTTCTTGCCTCCATAGAAAGGTTTAGTGTGGAAGATGATATTTGCACTATAACCAGTTTTGGAACAAGTAATATTGCATTCTCCTCCTAGATCCACCCAGGGCACTGTGAGGATAGACCTTCCATAACCATTGGGGAATGTGAGAATGTAATGCTCATCATAGTCTAGCCATGAGACACAGCCTTTCCCTATGATGTGCACCCCAATTGACATCCCAAGGAATTTTGATTTAGTCCAGATATGAGCATTGAATTGGATTTTCTTGTTAAAACAGTCAGCATAAAAGGCTGAAATGGGTGGATGATGGGAAACCTGCTCAGCCACTTTTGTTACACTGTTTTTGGAAACCCAGGGAACTGGTCCTTCTGAAACTAGCTCTGTGTTCTCTTCAGTGTCATTTGGTAATGTCCAGTGACACTGAAAGATCTCACCCAAAATGGCTTTTTGGCAACCAATCCTTTCCTTCCTGCATGAAATGTGGAGAGGTACCATTTCACAACCTGAACCATTCGATCCCTGGGAACTTTCTGGTCACTAATGCTCACAAACAGGTCCGGATGTGCAAAAAAAAAAAGTCTGCATACATCTCTAAAAGAGATCTTCTTTCAAGAATAAATGTTGGAAGAACTACCTTAGTAAGATCCATTCCAAGCCTAACCTGTGACAAGAAGTGCATGATAACACTCTTGTGCTCTTCCACTGATCCTGCCTCCCCATCTTGGTCTCTATCAGTCATGTGAATCAAAAAGGTCAGCATCACTTGTACCATTGGACATGGAAGAATTCAGTGATTCTGTGGTATCTGGGTGCTTTAGGCTATTTCACGAACTGCTATGTGTCAAGACTGAGGCAGAACCAGAAGAATCTATTAACCGTTTTGGGGATGATGATAGAATTCATCAGCATCATAGAAATCATCTTCACTGCTACAGTTAGAAAACTCTGGAACTGTATTTGGAGACAAGGTGACATGGCATGAAGAAGTTAGACTGCTACTAGGTGGTGAATGCCAACTGCCTGTACTATTTCATGTTGGAGTCTGATGATGTCCCAAGGTAGCTAATTCAGGCTCAATGGGTAAGGAAGACAGACGCTGCTCTGACTTACAAAACTGAGCTGGTTCTGGAGGTAAGACAGTCTGGGAAGGCATTGTGCTGATTACAGGTTCCTAGGGACTGGGTTGATATATTGCATCTACAGGATTAACAGTAGTTTTAGCAATCTGCAGCAACACCATGCAGTATTTAATAGATTCTATCATGTTGTTTGTTGTTTCTTTGAGAGTTTCAATTTTCTTTCTCTGTTCATCATCTTCACAGTTTTGAAGCTTGTCATCAAAAAGCTTTAGTTGTTCTATCAAGATTTGTAAGGTAAGCATCTGCCTATGTTAGTTTCTTGTCAAAGTCTTGGACACTAGGAACAAATCCTGAATCCAAACCTCCGCAAGCCGCCAGCAAGAAAGCCATTCTCCGAAGCCCCAGCCCTGGGTGCCTTCTGCGGCGGGAGCCGGGGGCTGCTTCAGCGCACCCCTCTTCTACTCCCTCAATCAGATTCCCGGACCCGCGGCAGAGCAGGCGGCCTAGCCAGAGGTTCAGCCCGTCCCCCGGAGCACCGCGTCACTCCGCCTCTATTTTGAATATTGCTAGTTTTTAGGGCAGAAGGAAAGAGTAAGTGTGACAAATGGTAAACTGACACTTAAACCTTCCATCCAGAAGTGGAAAACACTCCAACCACTTGTCATTTACCAAAGCAAATCTTGTGGCCACATCTAATTTCAAGGGCAAATAAGCCAACCATGTGCCAGGAAAAGGCCAGAAATATTTAATTGATATGAATGACTACTAACTGCCTTCTTGCCTCCTGTTTTGCCCAATTCTTGTTATCTATACTGCCACCAGAGAAATCACTCCAATATACAAATTTGACCATAGTACTCTCTTAGCCAAAAATAATAAATGGATTCCATGTTATTAAACATAGAATCCAAACTCTTAGATCAGGCTCCTGCTTTCCTAATTTTACCATTCCAATCTCCTATGACTGAACCACCTAGAATCCTGCAATTTCGTGAAACTACCTGCAAGTCCTTGAACCACACCAAGCTCTCTGTCACCTCTAGCCTTTTCTGGAAAAAAAAAAAAAAAAATTCTCCCTTGCAATTCCCCTCTACAATCAAAAAATAAAAATTAAAAGATAAAATAAAAATAAAAAATAAATCACCTTTTATTGTCTACCGCCCCAGTCAATAGTAAGGAATTGAAGATCAGGACTTAAGTTTCATACACTTTTATATTCTAGTGTCTGGCACAGTACCTAGCACAATAGGCACAGTCAAACCTCCACATCCTCAGGTTCTGGGGTTTTGTTTGGTTGGTTAGTTTTTGTGTGTGTGTGTGTGAGAGAAAGAGAGAGAGAGAGAGAGAGAGAGAGAGAGAGAGAGAGAGAGAGAGAGACTGGGGATTGAACCCAGGGCTTTGCATATTCTAGGAAAGCAATTTACTACTGAGCCATACTCTCAGACTCTGAATGGTAACAAAAAAATCACATACACGATTTGGAGATTTCCACTGAGGAGTAATTGCACAAGGAAGCCTGGAATCTTCCATGGAAAAACTAATTCAGGGAATTCCCTACCTAGAGAGGATGTGGATTCAGAGAAATGATGCCCTTTCAAAGAACTTGAACAACAAATTTGGACTATAGACTTCTTTCTCTTCCCTCCTTAACTGAAACTAAGGAAAGAACTATTCCAGACCCCCTGAGTGTCCGCATTCCCAAATATGGGAAGGATTTCTTCTTGGAGGCCTGACATTTTTGCTTCCTAATGTCCATGTTAGAGAGGATGCTCTTGTTCTTGTCATAACTTCTCTCAAAGACAGAATTTTTTTTTAATACCAGAGATTGAACCCAGGGGCGCTTAACCACTGAGTCACATCCCCAGCCTTTTTTTGTATTTTATTTAGAGACGGTCTTACTGAGTTCCTTGGGGCCTCACTAAATTGCTGAGGTTGGCTTTGAACTTGTGATCTTCCTGCCTAAATCTCATGAGCTGCTAGGATTACAGGTGGGCACTACCACGCCCAGCAAAGACAAAATATTCTTACCTTGTTTGCTTTTTAACAAAATCAGAAGCCAGATAAAAGTGCAGAATTCGTTGTTTGTTTGTTTGTTTTTCCCCAGAACTAGGGATTTTGATAGGTTAAGAAGATGGGACAAATGGCACAGAAGTCCATGAAACTCACATGTTGCCCCAAGCTGATGGGTGGCTCCCTTCTTTGAGTAAAGCCCCACAAAAAAATTTCTCAAAGTGCTTTGAGAATGAATAATGCTTTAGAAATATAAATCAAACTCAATCCAAAACTACTTTGAATTCTTATTTACTGAGGGTTGGAGTTAAAATTCAGTGAAAACAGATTTGTTGAATGAAAAGCATGGCAAATTCTCTCCCTAAAAGTCACCAATATATGTGGACAAAATAAAAACCACCATTTCAGGACTCTAATTTAACCAAAGGCATTTCACACAGAGATTTATCAGCAAAGTCCATGGGGCTTTACTGGCTTAAAGCACACTTTCCAACCAATCATGACTGACCAAAAACTTTGCTTTCCCTAGGGGAATACCAGGAAACCAAACTAAAAATAAATAAATAAATAAGGTGGGGGTAGTTCAATGGTAGAACACATGCTTAGCATGCACAATGCTATAGATTCAATCCAAGCACCAAAAAATAAAATGATGAAATTTCTTTTAAAAGATGACTAATCACTAAATGATTATGTAAATGGCTACACACAGCAAGGGAAACATATTTCATAGAACTTGTCCACAAAAGTAATTAAACAAACAAAAGTAGCAACAGTTGCTATCTCTTAGAAATAGGGTGATTATAATTTAGACATGATATAATAGTTTTATCTAAAGTGTCCAATTTTAATGTTGTAGGGACAGACAAGGCAAAGCATTCCAGCCAGATTTAGAAGGCAAAGCTTTTGCTGTAATTAAATAATCCCCTGAACCCCAAGTTAAGGTATTTTCAGAATTTTATACCCAATATGTAAGGGGAGGGGCTCAGAAGTTCACAGTTTGCAGAAGTTCACATAAAAGCAAATTTTTCTTTCACTGTTTTGGGAAAGTTAACCCTTCAAGGATAACACCTGAGAAGGGGACAGCTTCTTCTCCCCTTTCTTTCCTCACGCTGACAGCTATTATCATGGAGCCCAATTAGTAACTTCTCTTATCTTGGAGAGGTAGACATCTCTTTTATTGCTGAGTAATATTCCATTGTGTATATATGCCACATTTTTTAATCCATTCATCTACTGAAGGGCATCTAGGTTAGTTCCACAGTTTAGTTATTGTGAATTGTGCTGCTATAAACATTGATGTGGCTGTGTCCCTGTAGTATGCTGTTTTTAAGTCCTTGGGTATAGAATGAGGAGAGGGGTAGCTGGGTCAAATGGTGGTTCCTTTTCCAGTTTTCCAAGGAATCTCCATATTGCTTTCCATATTGGCTGCACCAATTTGCAGTCCCACCAGCAGTGTATGAGTGTGCCTTTTCCCCCACATCCTTGCCAACACTTACTGTTGTTTGTCTTCATAATAACTGCCATCTGGCTGGAGTGAGATGATATCTTAGAGTAGTTTTGATGAATCTCTGTAATTGCTAGAGATTATAAACATTTTTTCATATATTTGTTGATTGATTGTATATCCTCTTCTGAGAAGTGTCTGTTCAGGTCCTTGGCCCATTTGTTGATTGGGTTGTTGTTATTATTATTATTATTTGCTTAGCTTTTTGAGTTCTTTATATTCTCTGATATAAGGAGGCTGATTCATAGTGGGGTAGGGAGGGGGAGCATGGGAGGAATAGAGGAACTCTAGATAGGGCAGAGGGGTGGGAGGGGAAGGGAGGGGGCAGTGGGTTAACCAGGATGGTGGAATGTGATGGACATCATTATCCAAAGTACATGTATGAAGACACGAATTGGTGTGAACATACTTTATATACAACCAGAGATATGAAAATTTGTGCTGTATATGTGTAATAAGAATTGTAATGTATTCTGCTGTCATTTATTTTTTTTTAAATCAATTTAAATTTTTTTTTTTTTAAAAGTACACTTCTCTATGAAGCTCCAGCTCAAGGCTAGAGGCCTTGTTTACACATTTCTACAAACTACTATACTGGATACATTTTGTGAAAAACTAGTAAGGGGTGTTCAGCACCTGGAGTGCCAATTTCTTCCAGGTCAGTAGCCAAGTAAAATAGAGCAACACAAAAATAGGAAGTTTATCTACATTGAACACTTTTGTAGAGACTCTTTTGTTGACAGTCCTAAAATCAGCCATGGTGAAGATTTCTGGAGGAATCCAGTTAAGATTTTCTGTGGAGAAAGGGGTGCCACTAACATTAACAACAAAAAATATGAAACAAGCAAAGAAATATGAAAATGTGACACATACATGGGAGGGGACAGTCAATAAAACCTGTTTCTGGAGATCCCAGATGTTGGACAAATACTTCAAAAGCACTTATTAAATATACTTGTAGTGAGAAACTAATGTGACTCCATTTTTAAAAATAAATAAATAACAGCAGCTTCTACCTCAAAGCCTGTCCTAAGGAAGGGGGCGTAACCCTTGTCCTTGGAAAAACCCACAGAGCACTCCTAAGCACATACCCACTCTGCTGAGTTGTTTGTCTGCAAATAACAGGAGAGGTCTGAGGCGCCAGATGTCCCTGACTCAGTTAGGCTAGGTGAGGACCCATAGCAACCCCCCTAGCAACCTCCAATCAGTATGAGACAGGGAGAATACCTGGAATGCCAGATGACCCCCAAGTAGTTTATGGTGATGGATAACAAGTTGGGAAACCATGTAGTTTAGCACGTACATCCCTCTTGGCCTAAACCAATCAGTTCAAAAGAATCCCCTTCTTGTACTAACCAATCACCCCTACCCATCTTGTTCCCACCATTGAATGTGCTAATCATTGTTTGATTTTCCCACAGTATGGAATGATTTGCTGTGTGATGTAGTGAGGCATAGAGTATCCCCCCCAAAACCTATAAAATCTCACTGAACAAAGGACCAGGACTCACTCCCTGGGACCACTGCATTGGTAACGGTTGTGAGTCCAGGCTCGAGCTTGCAATAAAGACTCTTGTGTGCTTGCATCGGATTTGGCTCCTGGAGGTCTATTGGGGTCCCACG